GGAGAGCCGCGTGCCCGGTGGGGTCTCTCATGGCTGCCGCCCGAAGACTCGCGGTGGCGGTGCGGCCGCCTCTAGGCCTCACCGGGCTGGGGCTGCTCTGGCCCGGCCTCGACCCCCCGTCACCGGCCGGCGGGACCCCGAACCCCCGCCACAGCCCCGAATGGGGTTCGGGGTCCCGCCGGCCGGTGGCGGGGGGGTCAGGCCTACACCCCACTGTCCCCAGAAGGTCGGAGGGGGCTTCACCTCTGAGACTCATCCCTCTGTAAAACCCCTTTCCCCCTTCTCACACACTTGAATTTATCAAGCACTGTCCAGTCGTTAAAGAGAAATACTGATTTCTTTTAATGAAGCGGTGATAAACAGTAAACTGTTGACATGGATCCCCCCCCTCTCCTTTTCTTTCCCGCCACACGAAAATGAGTGAAACGGCGCGGACAAGGCACAATTTTTTTTTAAGTTTTCGCACTCACCGATACAAAAAGCATATGAAACGTGTTCCAACAAAACAACGACGTGATTTTTTTTTGTTTTTAAAAGATTGTATAAAAACCCGCAAGACTTTTGACATACAAAAATCCTTAACCTAAAAAAAAAATAGCACCAGGGAGAGTTAGAAACCTTTGAAAAGTGTTTAAAAAGGCATTTCTGAAATCTACCTCTCCTTACAACACATAATAAAAGGCAGCTTTTACAGGGAAAAATATTTCAAGGAAGACATGTCTACTACAATCTGTATCAAACACGACAATTCTCATTGCTCTTTTATCTTTGTTTACTTTCCCCAAGTCCTTTTTTTTTAAAATTCTCTTCTATTTTTCTTTTGATGAAATAGGAAAAGATAGGAGATCTGGAGTATGAAGTTATGAGATGCCGTGGAGTGTAGGTTACCTCTTCGCCCAGTTTGGAAAAAATACAAACCCTCAGAAGATCCCAAGGCGGAGGACGGCTGTCCCCCTGGCATCAGGCTCCGTACGGGGACCGTGGCTGGGGCTGGGTGAAAGAATTAAATGTGGTGACTCGGGTCCAAGGAGGTTGGCCAAGGGTCCAACACCAGCCGTTGCAGCGGTGGCGATGCCAGGCTTCCCAAACACTCCAGCATCTGCGGAGCCCACCCCGCTGTCTTCTCAGCTGGTGATAAAGGTGGCGAGAGGCTGATACTTGTCCCCAAGCGTTGCAGATGCCAGCAGTGACACGGATGAGACCACTCGGCTTTCTCCAGCATTTTCTTAATTAAGGCATGCAGCTCGAATGCTCATTGCTTGGGAACAAAGCCCTCTGGGAAGACTTTAGAGTAACCTCCGGGCAGGATCGTGGAAAAAAAGCCTTTTAAATGACCTGGGCTTCCCTTTCCTGCCCATTCCCGAGTGCAGCCTTGGATTGGAGAGCGAGAGAAGATGGTCCCCAGAGCCTGGGGCTGAGGTGGAAACCTGCACACAAGCAGCTCCACGGCAAGAAGAGTGGAAAATGGGAGGCTCCCTCCTCCAGGGAGGCTGCCGTCCTCCACCGCCTGTGAGAGGGGCGCAAGGAGGGGTCTCCATGTGTTCAGAGAGGTAGAAGGAGCCAGGAGAGAAGCTCTCATTTCCCACTGATGCTGTACAACACCTCGCGAGGCAGCCTGGCATCGGGCGGAGGGTTGACCTGATTCATTTTGAGAAGGCAGCCAAGGGCTCTGCCAGACCCAGGCGACGGGTTGTAGTGAACAGCAGAGGTAGGGGGAGGACGGAGGGACCGAGGGGTACGTGTCACAAATCGTTTCAGTGCATTGAAATGTGCATTGGAGTCAAAGAATCCCCGGGAGACGCCGGCAGGGACAGCAGCCCTGTGGCTACAGAAAACCTCGGGGAGAGGGACGGGCTCTGCCACACACGCACCCGCCTCTGCCCGGCCACTGGCCATGGGAACAGCGTGCCCAGGACCTCACAGACAGCGAGATCATCACTCTGGAGAAGTTAGGCAGCCGAGGAAAGCAATGAAAAGTGAACACAGCGGTGGCAGCAGGAGCTCCTGGTTTGGGGGTACAGGCCCAGGAGCCCCCCCAGGGCACTGTCGGGTGTGCAAGGAGCACCAGCAGCATCCCACCTCTGCGCACAACGTCACGCACGGGGAGACGGGTGCGCAGGGAGGGAGAGGTACAGCCCCCAGGACCCCAGCACAGCCCCCAGTGCCTGCAGCAGGGGGCAAAACACACACAGCCCCCCACAGCAGCAGTTCTCCTACCTGGGTGCTGCCGCAGGGGTCAGCTCCCTCTGCCCACGGAGCAGGATGGGTGCGGGGTGACACAAGTGGTGCTGCGCTCCCGGACCCAACAGCCCCGGGTGGGATTTTCCCTGCAAGGAACCCCCTGCACCACAGCTACCACACTGCCAATACTGCTCAGGTTCGTGACATTGTACGTGACGTTTTAGGGGGCTGTATTTTGAAGACGACATTGACCACTACGCTATCCTTCCTGCCGACGCGCCGCATTCATTCGGGAAATGAATGCTCAGAGAACATTTTCCTTTACGGACACTGGAGCCCAAATCCTCCGTGCTCTGATTACTGTGTAAGCTTTCAAACCACTCAGCAGGATTTTTAAAATGTAAAGAAAAGTTTTAGATGCTTTAAAAAGGAAGTAGTGAATATTTGTAAACTACAGCCAAACGTATAAAACATTATTTCTTTAGTTCTAGCTAGAAAAGTAATTCTATCACCTCACAGTTCAGTTTCAGCTACATTCAGGTCTAGGAATCTCCACATTCTTATGTAATGCCTTAAAGCAGCAATAGACGTTAAACAACAAAATTAAAGTTTATCAAAAAATTCTTAAAAATAAAAAATAATAATAAAAAAAAAGATTTGGTTTCTGTATCCTGCATGTTCAGTGTATGTAACCTGACCAGGGTCCCTTACACCTGCTGCTACAGTTTGGGGATTTTTGGCAGTTGCTTCAAGAGAGGTTTTGTTTGTTTAGGAAAAGCAATAATTCGCTATAGTTCAAGTTTGCCCGCAGCACCCCGGCAGCTGCCTCCACACTTACTGCTCAGCAAGTTGTGACTTTCCAGCTCTAGGCTAAAACGGGATATTTAATGCTCTGGAGGAGACTTCTCGTCTCATCAGTTATGCATAGAGCTTCCTGCGCCGGGTAATTAAAGCTCTTTTGTCCATCATTTTTCTACATATCACTGCCGTTAGTCCCTTTAAAGAAAAGTTACCCTGCCAGGTTCTTTGGTTAAAGACATTTCCTCAGCTCTCCCTGCGGGGCCAGGCTGCCTTCCCGCAGCACGTGGCTGGGGAGGGATGGTGCCGTGGTGGCAGAGTCCGGCGGCCGTGCCCATCCCTCAACCCGCCACGGCAGCGGAGCTGTGCATCTTTACCAGAGAGACGAGGGACGCTCGGCTTGCTATTCGCAGGCAAAGTAATCCTTGAGAGGGGAAAAGAGGTGCCGGATGACGGGGACGCTCCACGATTTCCCCAGCAGCTTCTGGCGAGACCCGCGACCCATGTTGGAGACGTCCGTGTAGTGGAGGGGGAAGCCGAAGATCCTGGGGAGCAGAGGCAGGAGAGGGGAGAGTGAGGTCTCTGGTGCTGGTCTCCTCTCACAGGTAATTAATGACAGAACGAGAGGGAATGGCTTCAAGCTCCAACAAGGTAGGTTTAGACAACATTAGGAATGAATTTTTCACAGAAAGAGTGGTCGGGCATTGGAATAGGCTGCTCAGGGAGGGGGTTGAGTCACCATCACTGGATGTATTAAAGAGACGTTTAGATGTGGGGTTGGGGGATATGGTGTAGGGGAGAACTTTGTAGAGTAGGGTAGATGGTTGGACTCGATGATCCCAAGGGTCTCTTCCAACCTAGACGATTCCATGATTCTATGAGGTTTGGTGGCTGCCCTGCTCTCCTGGTGCCCAGGGGCTGCAGCCAGGACACAGCATCCCTCTGCCCCATCCCCACGTCCATCCCACAGCTTCCTCAAGCCCCAGCCCCTGTTTTACAGTCCCGCTCGGCAGAAGCTCCCAACCCCTAACAGCCAACGCTCCCCACCACCTCTCCAATTTTCTTTCCCAGAGCAAAAACATTGCTTTCCCCCCCAAAAGCCCTCAGAGCACTCGGCAAAGGCGATGCAGCCATTCCTGCTCTGCCCAGAGCCAGTGGCAGACTTGCCCAGGGCAGCAGCAGCATCTCCTGTATCTCCTACGGCCCCGTTCCTGCGGACACAGCCCGGCAAATCATCCCACGTGTAGCTGTGTGAGCGTATCTGCCCCATACAACTTCATGTGGAGAAGGACCCAGTGCCCAGAGCCAGCTGGGCTGCGACCCGTCGCAGGGAGTCGAGCCAGGAATGAAGGAGCCCCGCGCTGCACCTGCTGGCCCGTGGAAATCTATACGTGGCAAGTTATGTGCACCCGCCTCCCGCCCCAGACGTGCCTGCGGGCAGAGAACGGCGAGCTGCTCCAGCTCCTGGAGCTCACAGCACCACCACATTTACAGACACTGAGGGCGGCCAAAATTAACCACCAGCCACGCTAAAAATTTCTATTATGGCTCTGGACTCCACTAAGCTTCTAAACTGCACTGCTGGACACTGTACTGAGACACTGGTGCCCCTGGGTGAGCCAAAAGATGGGCAAGAAACCCTGACGCACACCCAGGAGAGCAGCAGTCCTGGGTAGTCGCCATCACCTCAGGTTTTGAGTCTTAATGAAATTAAGAGAGAATTTCTCACAGCCAGGATGCAGTCCATGGCTCCTGTCTTACCAAAGTGCCCTGATGTGCAGCCCGTCATGAGAAAACGCTGAGTGTGCCGAGCTCTCCTGAAGAACAATGTGTTCATCACCCCAATGGCATCTCCTACACCCACTGCAGCTTTCCTACTGAAATACCCATCACCTCTGCAGCTCGCCTGCCTCAAAGGCTGGAGCAGAAGTGTCAAATACCGGAGCGTTGCTGCTCCAGGCAGTTGTCAGAGGGAGCAGGACCGCTGCCATCCCCATGAGCTGGAGCAGGGTCCCAGCCCACCGCCACCAGCACACCCAGCAGCCGATGCCCCTGGGAACACACCCCAGCAGAGCTCAGATTTCCCAGTTAAAGGGAAATGCTGGCAGGGATTAAGACCCCAGCATGCTGGCTCCATTTTAAAATTGCATTAGAAAAATAAAAGGAAAAGCAAAACAGAAGAGCCACCAATAATCTCTCAGCCAGGGATCAGCACTAGCACTAAATACTGGGGAGTAAAAAGCAAACACTAAGTATCTAAAGACAATAGAAAATTCCTCCTCCCAGCTCTGTGTGTCAAGTTCTCATGCAGTCTCTCCAGCTTGGCCGAAGTCAACTCATCGCTCTCCGAGGAACCACCCAGTTTTCGGAGGTCATTTACCACAAACTCACAGCTCCTGCTTGCTCTGGACTGGAGCAGCTCCTCCCAGGGCGGGTGCAGGAGCCCTTTTCCCAGGGCAGCTCCCTTCCTGAGCCACCCAGAGAGGCAATAAGCTTTGTGAGTCTCCTACGAGAAGGAGACTCTGCTCCACAGGGCAATCAGAGCCCTGTACATCCTGAACACTATCACCATCTTCACTCATTAGCTGTTCTTAATGGGGCCAGGCAGTGCCAACCCACTTTCCCCAGCAGTGCTTTCGGATGAGCCCTGTCCCCATGCCATCCTGCCTCTGCTCAGCAAGGCACCTCTGCAAGCATCGCCCCAGGCCACTTGATGGAGATGGCTCTGAGTCACCCTCACTGGGCGCTTCCACCTCATTACAATCAGATGAAAGCTCAAGTGCCATTTAAATGGCATGATACGACAAAGGCTCGGTAATTGCTATTTCACTTTCAAATACCTACACGCCTCTAGCTCAGCTATAATTAGATTTAGCTCCAACAAATACTAGCAATTTAAATATAAACAAGGAAAAATATTTAAAACCAGTCTGAGTTTATTGGCTGAGGCTTTGGCTGTGTGAAAATTCCACAATTTTTGTTGCTAGAAGTATCTGGTGTGCAGAACTGCTAGCAATTGGATTTTACTCTACTCCAAGCCCTTCTCTTGCGTTTTGCTGTGGATTCAGGGTGCTACGAGGTGTGAACAAGTTTGGAGCAGAGCCGTTGCCATAGCATGAGCTTCCCCACAATGCCACACCGAGCTGAGTGTCCCCAACCAAGGTGGCTGCTTGGGTTCATCTCCAGGAAACCCCTGCACAGCACTGCCCGGGGCACGGGGCTGCCAGAGAGCACCCCACATGAGCCTGGCTCTTAAACAAAGGCTGGAGCACATCTGCATCCCCAAGCTAGACACACCACGCAGCATCCTACTCAAGCCCCGTCGTTCTTCCCTCCACAGGCTTCAGGTCCAGGAGCAGAGGACGCTGCTACACTTTTCCCACAGTCTCATCTTTGCTCATTAACAAGGGCGTTATCATCTGCACATCCCCGCAGGGAAACTGCACCCTACGGGAGCTGCAGCTCTCTGGCTCCCAGGAGCTGGGCTTGGGGCCAAGGAGGAAAGAACCACCACAGCAGCACCACAAAACACAACTGCAGGAAGAGATTCAAAACGACAGCCAACGATTGATTACCTGTTCATCCCCGGAAGGTTGCCCCAGAAATAGCGTGCTCGGTGGGCAGCTGATATCTTGATAGCATCAATCATAACTGGGTTACACTGCAGGCCGTGAGAGAGAGAAAAATAATAGTTAGAGGAGATGTGGGTTCAGCCTTCTCCTGCACGGGAAGCCCTTCTCCACTGTACTGCAGGGACTTAAAGTCTTCAGCAAATCCTCCTAAAGATGTAGCCCCAACAAACCCCTGCTCTACGCCAGAGCACAGTCAGGTTGGCCACATGGGCTATCACGCCACAGCCGTGGCCAAAAGCTAATGAAAGTCACAGTGTGCTTCAGTGCTGATTTCTCTGGGACAGGATCAGGACCATCAGCCCCTGATGTGGCTTTTACAGACACTGGTTTCTGCTAACCCACAGCCCACCTTGGCTACCACAGAGTTAAAAATCCTTTCCAATCCCTGACCTCCCCAGAAACAACAGGCATGGCTCGGAACAGATTCTTTCTGCAAGGCTGGCAAAACTGCCCCCTGGCCCCTAAGAGAACCAGTGCTCGGGGTTAACCTGCCAGAGGGGATCCAGAGCCAAGACTAAACAGTTGACTCCTGCTGTGTGCATCAGGCAGGGGGTTTTCTATCATCAAGGCCACCCCAAACCCCAGCCAGACCCTCACAGCCTCGGCACACCTTACTCAGCCCAGCAAGTGTCTCCTGCTCTGATGCCTCTCCTGAAGCTTGGCAGCAACCCCTACCTCCAGAAAGCGAGAAATGTCCCTCTTGTCATTGACCCTCATGGCCACCACGTTCTCAAACATCCAGAAGAAGGGGCGCTCCTCTCCTGCCTTGGGACGGGCGTAGTTGAGCAGGTGGTAAAATTCGAAGAACAGCCTCCCTGTTCCTTCTACGAGACAGAAAGCCGGAGTGGCAGGTTGGGACCAGCTGGAGCACAGGGGGCACAGGGCCAGGAGCCCTGGCTGCCCTCCCCACCGCGACTGGCATGGAGACAGCCTGAGCTTTGCAGGTGCCACCCCATGGTTTGCAGGTCAAAGAGGAGCCACCACCACTGCAGACTGGGGCTGAACCACTTCCCTGGAATTTTAATGTAGCTCCACACCCCGGAACACCCCGGGGGTACCCTGCCCTGCAGAGGCAAAGCAGCCTTACCATACAGCCCCTTCCTGGCCGGATTGACAAGGGAGAGGTCATTACAGGGGCTTCCACCGATCACCAGGTCAAAGGGACCCCACTCCTCGATCTAGATCGAACAGACAGACGCAGTTAGGACATGCCATATAAGCAGGTCTCTCCTCCCCAGCAGGGCAGGGGGCAAGCCCACCCCAGGGCTGGTGAGGTGAGACCCATAGAGTCATGGTGCCACGTCCCCCAGCCCTCCCGCAGAAGCAGTGCTCACATTTCTCTTGGTTATGTTCCTGACATCGTGCACATAGGTGATGTTGCTCTCATGCTGCAAGTCACCCACAGCAATGGGGTCTTCGCAGATCTCCGAGGCGATGTACTTCTCCACTTGGATGCCCAAGTCCTTCAGCACCAGGTACCCTGCCAAGGGACAGAGGTCTGAGGTTGCAGTGCTCTCTTTAGTCTCCCAGTCTCCTTCATCAGCACAGCTCGATGTGGCCGCTCTTTCATGTCCTAGATGGGTGCAGTCACACAGGACTTCTGGATGAGCAAACTATTTTTTCAACCTGTTCCTCCAGGCAGGTTTGCTCCCAGAAATCAGAACTCCAGAGCTGAGTGAACTGAGTCAAACCAGTTTCCCTCAGGCATTTATTTCTTCACTAGAGGCCAGGCTACCAGCACTCCCACAGCTCTAGCTTCTCAGTGAAACCAGCCACCCGAGATGGCACTCGGTGCAGCAGGAACCTCTGAGAGCAAAATTCCCGTGCCCTCCCCTCCATCAATCCATCCCTCCCTCCTCCACAGCCCTGTCCAGCAGCAGCCCCTGCCCCTCATCCCCTTCTGATGGGGATGCCTCTGCCCTTAATCCCTTTCTCCCCATCAAGCTTTCAGAAACATGTTTGAGGCCAGGAACCTCTTCATCCCTGACATCCAGTGCTGTAAGCCACAGGATGGTGTTCTTCCAGCGCCTCACCTGTTGCTATGCCATCAAATAAAGAGAGCACTCGAATAGGTCTCCTCTTCGCTGGCGGGACTGTTGGGTAGATTTTGGGTGCAGCCTGCAATGAAAGGACAGCAATGAAGCCCCAGCTCTGAGCAGTGCCGTGACGCTCTATGAGGCCAAATCTTGGCTCTACAGGCATCACCTCCACCTTGAGGGAAGCATCTGCAGGGCCAAGAGCCCCAGCACCCTTGGAGAGGGTGGATGAGTGAGACCAAGGCAGAGGGATGAGGAATTTTGAGTTGGTTTGCCTTGCCCTCCCCCCAAGGCCCCGTGTGCTGGGCTTGCCTGCCCACAGTCCTTACGTATTCCTGTCCCTTGTCGCTGGTGAAGAAGTCCTGCAGGCGAGTGTTCCAGTCCTGCCGGCGCTGCAGCACCCCATAGCTCCTCTGGGGCTGGCACATGTAGCAGTTCCAGGGCTCCTGCTCTTTTGCCTTGGCCGATGTCCCTCGCCCCACCAGCACCTCCAGACATTCCACACAGAAGCACCTGCCCAAACCACAACACCTCGTGCCCACCACCTCCAGAAACCCCTCTGGGTCACCCCAGCCTCTCCTGGCATCTCCTCTGCCATGCACTGGAGCCCCCACCCCATTTTGTAGGATGTTTTTCCGTGCAGTATCCTGGTTTGTAAGGTTCTTAACACAAGCTGGTGACCCAGGTAAAGCTCCTGCCATCCTCCCCAGGGCTTATTCAGCTGCAGAGTGGCCCAGCGGGGATGGGTAGGCTGTGCTGGGACGTGCTGTGTGGCAGCCAGGTGGGCACCAGCACAGCACCACAGAATCACAGGATGGTTGTGGGGATCGGTAGGCTGTGCTGGGTCATGCTGTGTGGCAGCCAGGTGGGCACCAGCACAGCACCACAGAATCATAGGATGGTTTGGGGTGGAAAGGACCTTAAAGATCATTGAGTTTCAACCCCTCTGCCATGGGCAGGGACACCTTCCACTAGACCATCCTGCCCAGCCTCATGTATGACCCTGCTTCCCTGGGGCTCCCCAGGAGCCTCAGCTGGAGAAGCAGAGACGGGGCCCACCTGCAGCAGCTGGTGTTGCTGCAGAGCAGCAGCTCCTTGCCTTCGCAGCAGACAGTGCAGTAGGACTGGTAGCCGTCTTCATCATACATGTAGAAGAGCTCCAGGAATCTATCCTAGCGAAAAGACAGCCGGGAGGAGAGAAGGACAGAGGATCAGGATCTGTGCTCAGAGGGTGAGGAGGGAACACAGCTTTGCTCCATCCCTGGTGCACGCCAAGGGCTCAGAGATGCACATCCTCGGTGTTTCAAGCAGAGAGAACACGCTGAGGGGCAGCCCCATGGCCAGGATCTGGCACAGTCACCCCTCCTGGCCCAACAGCACTGGCTGCCATGGGGTTGGACACCCCATCACCCCATCCTCCAGCCCCAGCACTTACCCTGCACGTCTGGCAGAGGCCCCCCTCGAACAGCGGGTGGAAGGTGGCCGGGTTTCTCCTCCCGCAGGACAAACAGCTGTCTGTGTGACAGAGAGAGCTCCGCTCACCCCGGGGCAGGGAACTCCACACAGGAGGAGCACAGACCCCACACCTCCTCCCCACCACAGGCTGCAGAGACTGGAGACTCGTCTGAGCCCATGTGGGTCCAAATGCAGCTGGGGCTCAGCTGGGAACAGGCCCCATGGGGAGGATCTGCACAGCAGTCTGCTCTTCTCAACACCAAGGGGGCCCAGCAATCTGCCATCACGGCGCTTTCCCCCCTTCTACACGGTGTGGTTAAGAAGGGACCCACCACCTTTGCCCAGTGCTGCCCCCCAACCCCCTCACCAGCCCCACACCTTTTCCCCAGAGACACAGGGCGATCGATTACCTTCCAGACTCCCACTGTTGTTTGTAACTTCGGAAACCATTTGCGCTTTATAAAATTAAAAAGAGAAATTTATCATTCCTCATGTAACAAACTTGAAATGCACTCAGATTTACAGTTCTCTATATTTCTTGCATTAAACTGCTACAGCTTTGCTGAGCATTGCACAGAGAAGACAGGCCATGAGCCTTTTGGTGCAAAACCCATGTCCTTTCACTGCTGGGGATATTAGAGCTAGAGTTTAAAGCAGCATCACACAGATCATTTCCAAGCTGAGCAATTAAAGGAGCCCAGCTTGTGGTGCCATGTCTTGCACTTGGGTTTGTTGGTGTCTTGTTGGGCACAAAGAGAGCAACAGGAGACCACAAAAGCTTTTGCCTTCAAAAACAAGCTCATGGCACCTGGGAAGAGTCAAGCCTTTTTTTTCCCAGAGAGGTTTCCCAGTGCTTTTCAAAATGCACAGCCCAGGCCGTGTTGCTCCCCAGCTCTCGCTGCCCGTTACCTCGGGTCTGGTCCTCTTCTACTCGCTGCTCCTTGTTGTTGCAGAGGTTGGTCTTCAGTCTCTTGGTGGGAGGGCACTGCTCAAGGGACAGCACCTCCTCCGTCCCATTCCTCAGGGCCCCATTCTCTGCAAGGCAAAGGTGGTTCCCTGGGGACAAGCCTCTGGCATGGGGAGCTCCCCAGGGCACCGGGGGACATCTCCTGTCGAGCCCTGACAGGTCCCACCCCAGCCAAAAGCAGAACCCTTCCTGACCACCCAAGCTCCCCACACGTGGCTTGAGGCTCAGCCAGGTCATGACTTCCAGGAGCAACAGCTTTGAGGGTGCTTTACTCTGGACTTTTGCAATGCTGCTGTGGGGAGACCCCTGTAAGAAGCCCCAGGGCCACCTTGGAACCATGGCCGTGGCAGAGGGCGAGCAGGCTCAGCCAGGGCCAACCGCAGCAGCTGGGCACCAGTGGCTGCTGCCCACGCTAGCCCCATGCCCCAGCTGATGCCACCACCTCACCTGAGGCTTTGGGTGGTCGCAGTCCCTTGAGACCCAAGGGTTTGAAGCCGGTGAGCGCCCAGTCGATCATGGGCTTCAGCTGCTCCTCCAGGGACTCCCCGGGGGTGGCTGAAAACGTCTTCCCCGACCGGCTCCGGGCAACCTGCAGAGATAGGGGGGATGGTGTGGGCAAGGGTGACCGGGGCTGGTCCCTGGCTGCAGCGTGCATGGACCACATGCCTGCCAGGTCCCACACCCCCTCCCCACCATCCACACACATGGCACGGGGCTTGGGAATCCCCAGCACAGCAGCAGCTGCCAGATTCCCATGCTGGGTGTGTGTGTGCCCTCAGCCACGCTCCTGTGCCTCCCCTCCCTGCCATGAGCCCTGTCTGTCCTCCACCAGTCCCAACCCAGCAGGGAGCAGGGACAGCCCAGCCCCAGCTCTTGCCCAGACTCAGCTCCCTGACCAGCAAATCAAAGGCAGAAGAGGTGCCCATGATTTGGCAGCACCGTAACCCCAGCGTGATCCCCTGGATGGGGATCAGACCCACGGGGTGCTCAGTGCCAGCCCCAACCACAAAAAGCATCTGGCACCAGCCCAGGACACCTCCTGCCAGTGTGACCTTGCAACCATGATGCTGCCACGTGTCAGAGTCCCCAGAGGGAGCCTGGCCCCAGGGGTTTCTGGAGCAGAAGCCCTGGAGCAGCAGCAGTTATTCCTGAATCCCCCAGGATAAGCAGGGTTTGGCCCCATGGCTGGACTTGGAAAGAGTCCCAGCAGAGAAAGGACAGTTTTCCTACAGACATCTGTCTGCATCGCCCAGCAGATGGGGAAAATGATTAATTCTGGATCGTGGCAGGAGCCCCCTCGCTGATCCCTCTCAAGGTGATCTGCAGGCATTGTCCAGAACCGCCCCCAGATGCAGAGCAGAGCAACGTGCAGAGGGGCAGAGCTGGGAAGCTCCAGCTACAACCACCTCCCCACACACTGTCCGAGCTCTGCAGGTACCTGGGCTGAGCAGGCCCCCAGCTTCCCAGCTGGGACATCTCCTCCTGCCCCACAGAAGCACTTCCTTCACTGGCTCAGGTGCACCAGGAACACACCTGGTGCCACCTGGAACCACCTGGAACACAGCTTGTGCCCCCCCTGCATCCCACTGCCCCCCACGGAGCCCAGCCACTTCACTTGGCACCTCATCCATCCAACCCCAGCTCTGCTTCGCCGTTACCTCCAGGGCATGGTATATGGCTCGTCGGTAGGAGACCAGCTTATTAAAGGTGGAAGAATTGAAATGCTGCCTAAAGGCCATCAGTCCCACCAGCTTGTCTGCAGAAACCTGGGAGAGAGTGACAAAAGCTTACCAGAGGGCACGGGGGGCACGCCTCGCTTGGGCTGTGTGCCCCATGGCACCGTGCCCCCTGTGCTGCAGACCCATCCCTGCAGCACAGCAGCTCCCAGCACGGCTCTCAGGCTGCAGCCATGCCACCGGGGCTTTGTCTGGACCGTGCAGCCGGGCGAGGAAGCCAGAGGGAGGAAAGCAGAGGCAGCAGCATCACACTAGTGACTAGGACGGGTGTTTTGCACCCTCTGCTGGCACCGGCACAGCCAGCTCGGCACGGGCACCCGGCACGGAGCTTCCCTCCCATCTGCAGCCCCAGGGAGGCTGCGGGGTGATGGGGCTCTGGGAGAACATCCCTCACCGGGCAGGGAGCCACGGGGGCAGCCCCAGAGACCAGGGCTTGGGTAAAACCCTGCAAAGGGGCTGGGCAGACATCCCCATTGCTGGATTCTGTCACCAGGCTACGGTGGCCAGTCATTAGTTATAGTCACTAGAGCCAGGAGAGCGTGCCAGAGCCTAACTATGCCAAACACCGGGGTCCCTGCCCAGGGAGGCTGCAGCTGGGCACATGCACACCCCAGAGATAGCCCCAGGAATGGGACAGACAGCAGAAATGTGCAGGGGAGGGGTTTTCAGGCTGGGCGAAGCCAGGCACAGGCAGGGGCAGGTAGCAGGCTTACCTCGGAGAACTTCCCATCTCCGAACCACTGCACCCACCGCATGCCCGAGACAGCCTGGCGCTTGGCCGTGGCTCTGTAGGAGACGACGATCGCAGGCCACCAGGAGAAACCCTTGATCTTTCCCCAGACGAGCTCCCCAATTCCAAATTCTTTCCCATCCTGAAAGCAAAAGAGGACAACGCAGATCAGCCAAAAGCACAAACTCCCCATTTCATCTGAGCACCCGCCTGGGGGAATGGCTGTGGGACATCCCGCAGAGCTGCTACGCCATGTGTGTCATGTCACTGCAGCACACATGAACCTCTGTACAACTATTTAGACATCCCCTCCCTCAAAAAAATGGCCAAATACATCCCCGGCAGCGCTGGCTGCCAGCCCTGCAACACGCAGGAGCTCAGGGGGAAGGTCTGCACGTTGGCAGCCCCACGCCAAGCCTGGTGCCTGGCACGCACAGCACGGTGCGTGCTCCATCCTGCACAGCCCTCCTGGCACCCGCACCCCCTGCGTGCCCACTCCTGCCTGCCCTCCCAGGGTCTCTGCAAACACCGGGAAGCCTTTTCCTGCCCTCCCAGACCAGCAGCTGGGAAGCTCTGGTTGTCACAGGAGAGCTTAGAGCAGCCCCGGTGATGGGAATGGGCAAGGCAGGAGGGCAGCAGGTTGGGGGAGTGGAGATGGACTCTCCTGATGCCCTCACCCATCGCAGCCACGTTTGTCTGGGAGAACTTGGCTCACTGCACGCTGCTGCCGAGGAACGGCCAAGGCCAAGGGGGTGCGGGGAGCATGGCAGGGGATGGTACGTGTCCTGCCTGGCTGCTGGGAGGACTTTGCACCGAAGTTGCTCCCTGGGCTCCCCAAGAGGACGAGGTTGCTCCTTGGTGCAGAGAAACCCCCCCTTCATGGGGCTCACAGCTCACCTCGTCTGGCTGCACCCCGGGGAGAGGAGAGAGCACCAACCCTCCTCTTGTTCCCAGGGGAGAGCAGAAAACAGCACAGAGAGAAGAAAAGGAAAAGCTGGGAATTTTAGCAGGACCGTGCCAAGGGCCTCCAACAGGCAGTGTGACAGGGCCACACCGGCACGGTGCTGTGCCCAGGGAGGCACCTCGCACCGGAGCAGTCACCTCTGCCTGCAGAACCTTCCTTTCCCAGCTTTGTTCTGCAATTAGGCACCTAATTATGCAGCAAGATGCAATTGCCCAATTCCTGCAAGTCTCGGGCCCTGCCCTGACGCCTGCAGGCACTGAATCACGCTCCTCTGCAGCTCCAGCGGCTTCGTTCCTCTCCAGCAGCCCCCGACAGAAACATTTTCTACGCATGCAACTGCCTGTCTCGGCGGGGCCGGGCATGGCCACCAGCCCGGCGTGTGCCGCGCACGCGTCCCTCGGGGGCCCTTGGAGGCTTGGCAGCCCCACGTGTGGCACAGGCAGGGGCTCGGTGGGGCTGGTCCCCCCCACGCTGCCCGTCTGCGGCAGGGTACCCCCCGAGCATCACCGTCCCCCACTGCCTGATGGAGGGGGACAGCCCACCACCATCACACCCCGGGCAGCCAGGGAAGGGCAGGAAGGGAGAAGCAGGCAGGAGAAGCAGCAGTGAGGTTTCCAGAATGTCCTCTCATCTGCAGGCTCAGGACAAAGCCAGGAAGGTTTGTCCTTGCCCCACACCATCCCAGGTGCAGGATTCAGGATTCCAGTGCAGAATTTGCCCCCCCCTGCCCCGTACCTGGTACTCCAGTGCCATCCCCGAGTCTCTGCTCTCCGGCTCCTCAGCCCCCAGCTCGGCAGAGCCATTCTGTCCCTCCTGGGAGCTGCTGCCCGAGAGGGTGCTGCTGCTCTGGGACGAGTCCCGCGAGTCCTCCTCCGTCAGGTCGATGGTCACGGGGGTGGAGGTGGCCAAGCGCCGCCTGGAGCTCTGCGCGGTGGAAGAAATGGTGTGAGGGCAGCAGGAAGGTGGGGAGAGGGGCAGGGGGGAGCAGAGACCTGCCCCCCAGGTCACCCCCTGCCCCTCAGCCAGGGAGAGGGGCACCACCAGAGCCGGGAACGGAGGGGAGGTCCCAGGACTGGGGCGTCTGAGGGAGAACTGCCCTGCTTTTACTTGCAAGACATGTAGGAAATGGTGCACCACTTGCTCTCTTCACTTTTCCTCTTCCCCAGTTCACCCCAGGGTGTTCAAAGCACCCAGTTCATAGCAAGGGCAAGCAACAGGAAGAAATTTTTTACTATGAGGGTGGCCACCAGAGCCGGGAACAGAGGGGAGGGCCCAGGACTGGGGTGTCTGAGGGAGAACTGCCCTGCTTTTACTTGCAAGACACATAGGAAACGGTGCACCACTTGCTCTCTTCACTTTTCCTCTTCCCCAGTTCACCCCAGGGTGTTCAAAGCACCCAGTTCATAGCAAGGGCAAGCAACAGGAAGAAATTTTTTACTATGAGGGTGGTGAGACACTGGAACAGGTTGCCCAGGGAAGCTGTGGATGCCCCATCCCTGGAAGGGTTCAAGGCCAGGCTGGATGTGGCCTTGAGCAACCTGCTCTAGTGGGAGGTGTCCCTGCCCATGGCAGGGGGGGTGGAACTCGATGATCTTTGAGGTCCCTTCCAACCCAAACATTCTATGATTCTATGATTCTATGAACAGCACACACACCCCCACTTCACAGGGGAAACTGAGGCACGGGGAGGCTGCAACATGCCTGAAGCCACTTTGGCCAGGGCACAGCAGAAGTGCAGGGCTCCAGAGCCCCAGGGAAGACCCAGGGAAGCCCTGGCCCCACGCAGACCCTCACCCGCAGGGGAGTTGGCAGGTCCTTGAGAGTCTCCACGCTGTTTGTTTCCTTGATCCTCATCTCTTGCCGGGTCTGCCCTGCCTGGAAGATGAGGCGGACGGGGGGCTTCTGCCTGAGGCTGCTCTCCCACCCGGCGCTGCCCCGGGGCCTCCCCTGCAACCAGAACAGAGAGGTGCCATGGCACGCAGACCTTTCCCATGCCAGCAGCACGCAGGGGACAGGGACAGCCCAGTGGCACCAGAGCCCAGGGATGGGGGCACATGGCATGAAGACCTTTCTCATGCCAGCAGCATGCAGGGGACAGGGACAGCCCAGTGGCACCAGAGCCCAGGGATGGGGGCACAGGGAAAGCAAGAGGAACGCAGGGGGTGTGGGGGGCACCTCGGGCTGAGCCCCTTGGTGCAACCAGGCACTTCACAGCATCTCTGCTGGGCTGCACGGCCGTGCTCAGGAGCACCCATTGCTGCAGCCCCCACAACTTCTGTTTCCAGCTCTCATGTGCATCCTCCACTATACCCTCATGTACCCCTCTCCTCCTCACAGCTACAGCCACAGCGGTGGGACCAAGACCAGCATGAGCCAGCAGTCGGGAGGACCGGTCACTGGGAGAGCCACGGGGGCCGTCCCAGGCACGACACCCCACTCACACACGCGTGGGTGCTCTCACACGCATGTGGGTGCTCTCACACACGCATGGGTGTGCTCTCTCTCCCCCCACAGCCCAGCCCTGCAGAGGCACCAAGGGCAGCCTTTCCCCTGCGGCTTCAGCAGCCGCAGTTTACAATCAATCTAACCCAGGCATGTTTCCTGCATCCGGCATAACAAGAGTTTCAAAACGAAATGAGATTTTGCAAGCGAAGAGCCCTGAACCCGATGTAGTGGGAAAGCAGAATTTTCACCCTGGTTGGATTTATGGCTCTTTCTTTTGGAAGCTGCCTCATCACAGGCAGATCTCCAACCTCGGGATTTCATTTTAAAGTCAAAACAATAAAGCCAGAAAGCAAAAATGCTTCCAGACCCTGGAGGTTTGTCAACCTAATCAACAAAAGGAGGGGGGACAAAACTGGGATCCAGCCCCAAAGCAACTAAAAGCGGGGTGGGAGACACGAGATGCGTGGGTCCATCAATACAGCCAAGACTTTTTAAAGAAAATATCAGCATAATAATTATTAGACTGCTGCAACATGTAGTGGGCATCACTGCATCATGCATCATACCCTCCTGCTGCTGCTGACACAATGTAAATCAGGAGTTCAAAAATTAAAACAAATATGAAGATTTGCTTGAAGATGAATATTGCATCTGCCATTGGACTGTTCCCCCAGCACTAAGTGCAAGAGCCATGCTGGAGAGGAACAGTCAAGGAACCATTTTCCCCCTCACAAATAGCCCACAAAGCCCCCACATAGCAGCCTTGGTGACCACTTACCTCCTGCGCCCCCGCAAGAGCAAGTGGCCAGGACAGGTCCTCCTTGGAGAGGTCTCCCTTGCTGACCCTCTTGTTGTTCTTCAGAGATGGCAGCCCCAGGCCCCCGGCACCTGCGCAGGGACAAGGCAGAGCAGCCTCAGGCTCTGTGAGCCGTCCTGGCCGTGCCCCTGCACGCCTCTGCCCACAACTGCTCCGAGCAGCGAGGCGTGATTTGAAAAGACCAAAACCTCATCTTGGAGAAATGTGGCCAAGAGCAGAAGACAAGTGGTGTCCCCAAGGCTCCCCATCATGGTATTACTGATACCAGCAGTTCCAGATCACCCACCTGCCCCAAAACTGGGAGGGACTAATAGCAATTGTGGGGACCTTCTTATGTACCTTTTTGTTCCTGAAAGTTCAGAGGCACAAGGAAATCATGCGCCCACTATTCAGGGCTTGTCAGCAGTTCAGTTAAAGCAGGACCTCACGAACCCAAGAGCTGGCATTTGGGGACCATGACCAGAGCACCTCAGGGGCTGTGATGCAGCCAGCAGCAAATCCTTGGACATGTCGGGGCTTCCCACCTCCCTGCTCCCCAGGGGGGTCAAGCCATCAAGGGGCAGAGCCACCATCCCACTGTGGCACCCGTTTCCACAACCACTTCTGTTGCCATGGCCTGGATGTGCCACCAGAAAGCAGAAGCCCAGCGGAGTCATGGAGGGACCCTTGGCCATGGCCATGGTACTTACTGCAGCCCCCGGGAAGCCCTTGGGACAGTGGCCTGTGCATCCTGGGCACAGCACGGTGAGACTCACCTGGAGTGCTGGGCTTCCCATTTGGCTCCAGAACCAGGGCAGATGTGTCCTTAGTGGGGTCAGTGCAGTCCCCGCTGATGAGGATCAGCTCTGCCCTGCAGTCTGCCTCATCCCGGTCATGGCTCTTGTCATTTTTCATGGTTGCCTGTGGAAGCCAGAGTGGAAAGGAAATTTAGCCGTGCAGAAAGTCCCAGGGAGGGAAAAGTAGCCAGTGCAAGCTCTTTAAGGCAGCCACAACTTCTCATGCCCTTAGCAGAGGGGTCTGACTGGAGACACAACTGGAGCGGTACACCGGGAGCCAACGGGCACCTGGACAAAACCTCACAAATGTGGTGGCCCTGAAGATCCACCAGTTCCAGTGAACACAGGCACCAGATGCAACCTTCTTGTCCTCAGGGGACAGGGCTTTTCTCCGGGGCTGCGCTGGTCCCAGCCCTGCCATCCATGCAAATGCCACGGGGTGCTCCTGGGCTCGGTGCTGCCCAGCCCAGGCTGGCTCTGACGGATCAGTCCCTGCTGCAGCTCAAGAACTTATCTGGAAGGGAGCTGCACCTTGCAGAAACCAGGGGACATCCCACCCGCCCTGGGGACCAGCCTCACCGTGCTCTGGCTGCTCAGCAAACCCAGCACAGCCAGCAAACCCAGCACACCCAGCAGTGGGTGGGCTGTTCCGGCGGCAGTGGGAGAGGGCAGACAACTCGCCTCGGGGGGCAAAGTCCTGGCGCCTGCAGGGAGTTAAACCCTCCCAAAGGGAGAAAACTCCTCCTGCCCCCCCTGCCCCGGCTTCAGCTCCCCTGCCCCAGAGTGAAGCGGCAAGGGCAGGGGTCTGCGCTGGCTGCACTCACCAGCACTCACACACCACCACCCCCTGCCCTGGGCACCAGCGAAAGAGAGTGTCGGGGTCCCCCCCACCCCGATGTCCC